TTTTTGACAAGGTCTCACCATGCCATGGTCCTCCCACCCTAGTCTCCTGGTTAGCTAAGATGGTGTGCACTGCCATCCTTTGCATATTTAGCTTACCAGTACTGAAACTGGGACCCTCCACAAGACTCCAGCATTGCGCAGCAGACCTCTACTGCCTGCACTCCAGCAGCTGGCCCAAGTGTTGACTTCTGCCAACAGAAACAGGAGCACACACAAAAAATTTGCTGTTGGGGCCAGCAGGTGGCGTGGTGGTTAAGGGCGTTGGACTCCAACATGGCTGACTGTGGCTCGGACCTGGTGGCTTGCTTTCTTGCTCTCTGTCTCACTCTGTCCCTCTCTGGTCAAAATTTTTTTGGGACCAGCAGTCAGCGTAATGGCTATGTCGCTGGACTCCCACGTAATCGACCGCAGTTCGCGTCCCAGACTCGGTGGCTTAAACTCACACTGGATTGGGCGAGTGTGCATGCCCCCACCCCCCCCCAGAGGAGAACAGAGAAGGGATTGCAGCGTGGCCATCCCCCCTGGGGGGTGATTTCTCACTTTTTGTCTCTCTGTCTTTCTCTCTCTCTCTGGCAAGCGCACACACCCTATAGCAAACACCTCGAAAAAAAAAATTGTTTTTAAAGTAAATAAATTGGGCCAGCAGTTGGCATGGCGGTTAAGGCGGTGGACATTCCCACACGTCTGGCCACAGTCCAAGTCTCGGACCTGGTGGCTTGCTTTCTTACTTCCCTTCTCTCTGTCTGTCTGTCTCTGGTCAAGTGAAAATTAATGAATAAATAAAATTAAATAATTCTTTAAAAAATAGATTAATAAAGCTAAATAAAATAATTCTTAAAAAAAAAAAAAAAGAAACTTTGCTGCTTCCAGAATGGGGCCTTTATATTGAGAGATTGGGGATTTAAACCTTGACCACTGTATCTATTAATGAAACTTCTAATTGTTTCATCTAAATCAAATCTGGTTTAGACAAGATCCATTTTCATAGATCTTGATAAAAGCTTATGTCTAGGAGATAATGTTGCTGTTTAAGAAATACGGTGTAGAGGGTCCAGCAGTTAGTGTAATGGCTATATTGCTGGACTCCCATGTGGTCGACCGCAACTTGAGTCCCGGACCCAGTGGCTTAAACTCATGCCAGGCACATGTGCGTGTGTGCCCAGGATCCCGAGAGGAGAATGGAGAAGGGATAACGGCGTGACCATCCCCCCTGGGGGGTGATTTCTCATTTCCTATCTCTCTGTCTCAGTCTTTCTGGTATGAGCACATGCCCTATAGCAAAACCTCTCCCTAAAAAAAGAAAAGAAAAAGAAATACTGTGTATAGCCAGCTCCATTGCCTGATGGTTGGGGTACTCAGCTCCTACATAGTTAATTCTGAGAGTTCAAGTCTGGCGCAGGTGGCTTGAGGGACTTGCTACATGTGCATGTGTGTGCATGCCCCAAATCCCAACAGGATAGAGAAGTGAAGGAGAAGGTATTGTAGAGTGACCACGTTCCAGTGGGAGAGTGGGAGGTGCTTCTCTCTCTCTCTGTCTCTGTGGTGAGCATACCTGTCTTCTGACAAATTAAAAATAAAAGTAATATCGTGTAAGGTGAACAAGGGCTATATACACTTAAGGGGGCTGTGTATCAAGACTACATTTTGGGAACCAGCAGTTAGCGTAATGGCTGTGTCGCTGGACTCCCACGTAGTCGACCACGGTTCGCGTCCCGGACCTGGTGGCTTAAAACTCACGCCAGGCGCGTGTGCGTGCGTGCCCAAGATCCCGAGAGGAGAATGGAGGAGAAGGGATTGCAGCGTGACCATTCCCCCTGGGGGGTGATTCCTCCCTTTCTGTCTCTATGTCTCTGTCTGTCTGGCAAGCACACGCGCCCTATAGCAAAAACCTCTCCAAAAAAAAAAAGACTGCATTTTTTGGGGCCAGCAGGCGGCATGGTGGTTAGGGTCACTGGATTCCGACTTTGCCAACAGTTTGAGCCCTAGACCTGGCGGTTTGCTTTTTCACTTTTCCTTTATCTCTCTCTCTGTTTCTCTCTGGTCAAATTTAAAGAATAATAATCATAAATGGAATTAAATAAACAAATAATTATTTTTTTCTTTTTAAAGAATTATATTTTATTTAATTTCATTTGTTGTCATTATTTTATTTATTTATTTATTTATTTATTGAAGTTGATCAGCAAGAGACAGAGAGAGAGAAGGAAAGTGAGAAAGTAAGCTGCCAGATCTGGGACTCGAACTGCGGTCAGCCATGTGGGAGTCCAGTTGTCTTAACTGCCACACCACCTGCAAGCCCTATTAAATAAATAATTCTAAAAAAAGGACTACTTTTTTTAGTGTTTTTTTATTTTGTTTTAGAGAGTTTTTTTGCTATAGGGTGCATGTGCTCGCCAGACAGAGACAGAAAGCGAGAAATCACCCCCCAGGAGGGACGGCTACGCCGCAATCCCTTCTCCTCCATTCTCCTCTCAGGATCTTGGGCACGCACGCACGCACATGCGCCCAGCGTGAGTTTTAAGTCACCGGGTCTGGGACGCAAACCATGGTCGACTACATGGGAGTCCAGTGACAGCCATTATGCTAACTGCTGGTCCCTAGTGGTTGTTTTTTTACTTGCCAATAGTTTTGCCATTCAGCAGTTAAGAGCCATTTTGGTTACGATTTCATTCTCTCTGTGCTTAAAGTAACACCCAATGGGGCCAGCATGTGGTGTTAAGGCACTGGACTGCCATGGTTTGAGTCCGTGGTTTGCGTCTGAGACCTGGCAGACTGAAAAATTACACTGGGTTGGGCAGGCAGATGGCATGGTGGTTAAGGGTGCTGCTGCACTCCCACATGGCTTACTGTGGTTCTAGTCCCAGACCTGGTGGCTTGCTTTCTCACTTTCCCTCTTTCTCTCTCACTCTGTCCCTCTCTGGTGCAATTAAAAACAAATAAATAAAATGAATAAAGTTAAATAAAAATAATTCTTAAAAGAAACAAGAAAAAGGGGGCTGGCTGGTGGCTTGGTGGTTAAGGGTGCTGGATTCCACATGGCTGACCTGTTTGAGTCCTGGATCTGGTGGCTACTTTCTCATTTTCTCTCTCTTCTTTCTTTCACTCTGTCCCACTCTGGTCAAATTTAAAAATAAACAAATAAAGTTAAATAAAATAATTTTTAAAAAATCACACTGGGTGCTTATACGTGCATTCCCAAAATCTCAAGAGGAGAATGGAAAAGGGATTGTGGCTTGGCTGTCCCCCTTGGGGGATACTTTCTCACTTTCTCTCTCTCTCTCTGATGAGCACATGTACCCTATGGCAGACCTTCTCCCTCCCCCACCCCCACCCCCCAAAAAAAACAGCAATGGCCAGCCGGAGGCATGGTAGTTAAGGTGGCTGGATCCCACATGGCTGACTGCACAGTTCAAGTCCTAGACCCAGTGATTTGAAAAACATGCTGGATGCTAGTGCATACATGCCCAAAATCCTGAGAGGAGAATGGAAGAGAAAGGATTGTGGCATCGCCATTCCCCAGGGGGTGCGTTCTCATTTTCTGTCTCCAGTAAGCGCACATGCCTATAGCAAAGAGTATGTTAATGACTTTGTGCCTGGTGTGTAGGAGATACTTAATAAATATTTATGAAAAAATGAGCCTCTCTTGTGTCTCATTTTCCTCTCCTAGAAAATCAGGTAATAGTGACTACAAAATACCTACACCGATTGCTAGCAGATTCAAAGCAGTCTGTACAATTCACTAGTTAAACTAATGGGGCCGGCAGGTGGTGTGGTGGTTAAAGGGGCCGGGAGACCAGCAGTGAATGTAATGGCTACGTCGCTGGACTCCCATGTAGTCAACCGCGGTTCGCGTCCTGGACCCGGTGGCTTAAAACTCACGCTGGGTGCGTGTGCACGTGTGCCCAGGATCCTAGGAGGAGAATGGAGAAGGGATGGTGGTGTGACCATCCCCCTGGGGGGTGATTTCTCGCTTTCTGTCTCTCTGTCTCTCTGTCTGTCTGGCGAGTGCATGCGCCCTATAGCAAAAAAAAAACTCTCAAAAAAAAAAAAAAAAGGGTGCCGGACTCCCACATGGCTGACAGCAATTTGAGTCCCAGACCTGGCGGCTTGCTTTCTCACTTTCTCTCTCTCTCTGTGTCCTATTCTGGTCAAATTATAAATAAATTAATTAAATAATTCTTTAAAAACAAACAAAAAACTAACCTACTAGTCAGACTACTTTGGGTCCTGTTGTGCCCCTGAGGTTAGGACTGATAAAGTCCTTTGCTCTTGGAATTTGCTGTTTTCCTCACCAATTACACAGCTGGGGAAGGGGAAGGGGCAGGAGTAAGACTAGTTGGGTGCCGCTGGAATCCAGCCAAATTCAGGCTGACCAACCACTTTGTTTATTTGTTTGTTTGTTTTTAGAGGTTTGTGCACTCGCCAGAAAGACAGAAAACAAGAAATCACCCTCCAGGGGGGATGGCCACGCCACAATCCCTTCTCCATTCTCCACCCAGGACCTTGGGTGCATACACACACGCGCGCACGCGTGCGCCCTTCATGAGTTTAAGCCACCGGGTCTGGACTCGAACTGAGTTCGGCTACATGGGAGTCCAGCAACTTAGCCAATATGCTGAATGATGGTCTCTACTAATCACTTTGGAGAGGCAAGATTTTTTTTTTTTTTTTTGCTATAGGGCGCATGAGTTCGCCAGAAAGACAGAGAGACAGAGAGACAGAAAGCAAGAAATCACCCCCCAGGGGGGATGGCCACACCGCAATCGCAATCCCTTCTCCTCCATTCTCCTCTGAGGTCTTGGGCACGCATGCACACGCGCCTGGTGTGTTTAAGCCACCGGGTCTGGGACTCGAACCACGGTCGACTACATGGGAGTCCAGTGACATAGCCAACTACATGGGAGTCCAGTGACATAGCCATTATGCTAACTGCTAGTCCCAAGAATTGGGTTTGAGTGGACAAAACAATCCTTCAATGAGAGTTACTCACACCAAGGACATTTGTGCAAGTTGTGGCCTTTAATACTGAGAAAGACCTTGCAGAATGACGGGATAGGACCGAACTTCCAGAGAGTGGTGTTGAGCCAACCTCTCACAGGACCCTAAAACCTGATTGGCAAGAGGATAAATCGACGTATTTACATTTCTGTGTGCCCTGAAAACCCTGGGAAGGTCTGAGGCCTCAGGCCATCTAGCCTTTCCTCCCTCTTTTCTCTCTTCCAACCTCTTCACCTTCTTTCACTTCCTCAATTCTTTCTGCTCCTTTCTCTCCTTTCTTTCTCTTCTTCTTTCTCTATTTTCCTTCTCCATCTTCTGGCTTCTCCTTACCTTCTACCCATCAATCCCTTCATGCCCCACAGTCATTCCCCCCAACCCAGCCCCTCAGCCCTGCCTCCTTCAGCTTCAGCCTCCAGGCTTAGGGTGGGGAGGCAAGACAGGGTCCTCAGCCCAGGGAGCACTTGCTGGCGTTCTTCTTGTCACTGGTTTTCAGGTCAGTGCTGGGGAGCTTGTTGCCATTTCCCTAGAGGGAGAAGGGCAGAGGAGTCCAGATGTGAATGGCTGGGGCTGACGCTGTAAACTGAGGTCAACCCCCATGTGAGACATCTTTACATTGCTCCTCTCCTCCATTTTTACCCCCAATACACACGCATGCACATGTGCCCCCCCCACACACACACACGAGTACAGCTGTACCTAGCCCAGCAGAACCAACTCAACTCACCGATCTCCGGCCTCCTGACTTGAGCAGGATGTCCCGGGCCAGAGAATTGAAAGCCTAACATGGAAAAAGGGGAGACTGGTTAGAATGGATTGGAATGGAAGGTGAACCAGCTCCTTCTGTGTGTATGGGGGTGTCTTACCTCATCTACATTCATACTAGATTTGGCACTTGTCTCAAAAAATCGGATTCCATGCTCTCGAGCCAACTGTAAGGGGTGAAGTAGGAAGGAGAGCTGGATGAAGGGGAGCAGCCAGGGCCTCTGCGCTCTGACCTCACCCTGGCCTCCCAGCCCACTCCCAGAGCACTGCCCAGCCTGGCCCTTACTTTATCAGCCTGCTCCTTCTGCACCTTCCTCTTGGCCTCCATGTCACACTTGTTCCCCAGCAAAAGGCGCTCCACACCGGCCGAGGCGTTCTGGGGACCGAGGGGTAAGACAAGTAAAGTCAGGTCCTGCCCGTCCTCACGACCCCCTTCATCCTGCAGGTTCTACCCGGTTCCCCCATCTTTGGAGGATCTTTACCTCCTTGATGCTTTTCATCCAGTTCTGAATATTCTCGAAGGATTTCTCATCGGTGATGTCATATACTAGGATGATGCCCTGTGGGACGGCAAAGTTCACCTTGGGCCATATTTCCATTTAGCCTTCCCACTGCCCCCAAGAGACCCTGCGAGTTCCATCCACAGGTCTAAACACAAGGCCGTGTGTGACCCTTGGCAACACACTCTGCTGTTCCACCCTTTTTTTCCCTGCCCCAACTCCTGGCCCATTTTACTCATAAAACTATATGCTATTGCCTGATGCCTTCATCCCCCGTCCAGACCCAGGTTTCGTACCATGGCTCCGCGGTAGTAAGCAGTAGTTATTGTCTTGAATCGCTCTTGGCCAGCTGTGTCCCTGAAGAAGTAGGATTCATTGTGTGAGAGAGGGGAAAAGGCTCCCTAAGGGAAGAAATCTACTCTCCCCTCAAGAATGTCGCTTTTTGGTACCAGCAGTTGGCGTAATGGCTATGTTGCTGCACTCCCATGTAGTCGACTGTGGTTCAAGTACCGGACCTGGTGGCTTAAACTCATGCCAGGCGTGTGTGCGTGCGTGCCCAAGATCCCGAGAGGAGAATGGAGAAGAAGGGATTGCGGTGTGGCCATCCCCCCTGGGGGGTGATTTCTCGCTTTCTGTCTCTCTGGTGAGCGCGCACACGCCCTATAGCAAAAACCTCTCAAAAAAAAAAAAAAAAAAAAAAAAAAACCGAACTTCTTCAA